CCCCCCCCAAAAAAAAATCAACAAACTCTTTGAAAATTCGATAAAAACGAAGAACAATGGATACCCAATTAATGCAATTAAGTTCTATATAAAATCTTTGAATTAATTGTATGTTACTATTAATAAATTTACTAAAAACCTCTTTCACAATTTATGTTCTTACCATGTGAAATGAATAATTTAAAAATACTTTATTTTAATAATTGTTCTTCTTCTCTTTTCATTTATCTTTATTATTTTCCATATTTTCACTATTGTTCGGACGGCTGAAATTAAAACCTGATTTCATATATTAAAAACTTCATTTTAGATAAATTAATTTTAAAACTTTATGAAACAACGTTTTGGACTTTCAAAAACCAAAATCTGATTTCATCGATAAAAAATTATTTTTAAAACTAAATAACTTTAAGGACGGCAAAAAATCGAAATCTGATTTCGTGTATTAAAAATTTCATCTTATATAAATTAGTTTTAAAACTTTTCGAAACTAATTAGCTTTCTGGATGATCGAAAACCAAATTCCGTTTTGATCTCACAAAGATGAAACATTTTATTTTAAGTAAATTAAGTTTATAAATATTTGAAACGAAACAACTATTTGGAGGGTAAAAACCAAAATCTGTTTTCGGGTATTAAAAATCTCATTTTAAATAAGTTCATTTTAAAACTTTTTGAAACTTAACAGCTTTATGGGACGTGTGAAAACAAAAATCTGATTACTTATAGATTTAAAATTCCATTTAAAACAAATTAATGTTTTAAATTTGTGAAACGAAACAATTTTTTGGAGGGCAGAAACTAAAATCAAATTTCATATATTAAAAATTTCATTTCAAACAAATCAATTTTGAAATTAACTAGTCTTTTGGACGATCGTAAACCAAAATCTGATTTCGTGGTTTAAAAATCTTATTTTAAATAAATTAAATTAAAACATTTTTAAATTAAATAGCTATTTCATTTAAATAAATAAATTTAAACAATTTTAAAACCGAATAATTCTTTCATTTAGATAAAACAATAAAAAAAATTGAAACTAAATAAACATTCGATTTAAATAAATTTATTAAAAAAATTTTTAAAACTAAATTACTTTTCGGCAGGAAAAAAAAACAAAATCAGTTAATCTGCATTAGAAATTTTATTTTAAATAGAATAATGTTAAATTTTCTTAATAACTAAATAGCATTTTGGGTGGACAGAAAGTCAGTTCTGATTCTGCGTATTAAAATGTTATTTTAATAAATATTATTTAAAAGCTTTTTTAAGCTAAATAAAACCGAAACATTTTTGTTACTTTTATGTTAGACTTTTGCTACATTTTTTAGAAACATAAAAAATATTACTTTTTTAGTAAAAAGCGTTTAATGATACAGAAAACACAAAAAAAAAATCATCGTAAGTTTTAGCAATCAGGAGATTCCCATTAATTGCTAACTGGTTGTAAAAACAAACTGTTCGAAGACCTGGCTCAAGCATTGAGGGAAACTAACCTTCTTGGAGGATTTTATTGAGGGTACTAGACCGCATTTGCTTCACATGGAGAGGAAAACTTCACATGGTTAGCCAGACAACGAGGGGACTCTAATACATACAAAACACGTAAGATGCTTCACTTCGAGATAAGCCTTTATCACCATCAACCCCGCTCCTTTTGTAAGTGATGCATTCCTTCCTCATTGTAGGCCTGACAAAATAATTTCCTATCTTTTGAATCACCCCATAACATTTAAAATATTTATTTTATTTAATATTTATCTATTTCTGCATGGTGAAAGTCATTATGAGTAACAAAATAATAAAAATATTATCGTTCATAAATGGAAAGAAAATGTAGAATAAATGTTGTTGTTGTTGTCATACGCCTGTTAAGCAGAGGAGTGCGATTGTTCTTGTTTTACA